TCCTCCTTTCCTCGTTTCCTGCTTATCCGAACCCATTCTCCTTGTCTTTCTCACCAAAACCTCGAGCTCGCCCCAGCGCCGTGCGGCGTTAACGGCAGGAACTCCTCGCCGCAAGATGCGACCCGCCGAAGGTTTCCGCGGGCTCAAAAAGCACTTCCGTAAATTCACACTGAATAAACCCACCGAGGGTTGTCCAAAACCAGAGATATTTATCCCAGAGCCACCGGTTTCTGGAGGCTGGGAGTGTTTTTTTGGGGGAAATCTCGCTTATCTTGCGCAGACACGCGTCCCCGGCCGCCGGCTCTTGGTTACTCTTCGTGTTTTGCTCTTCTGCAGAATTTTTTCCCCACGCCTCTCCCATCCCAGACGAGGGTAGAAGTAATTTCAGTGAGGTAAAAGGATTTTTTTTCCTCAATTCCTCCAAGAACATCTTTTCCCTCAGGAAGAAATCCAGGTTTGCCTACAGGCTTCAAAGAAGGAGAGAGAAAAATACGTGGAGAGCAGAAAAACTGGCGCAAGGAAGAGCTCGTACCTGGTAGGTGCCCTCCAGCAGAAACCTGGGGGAGGGGGTCCCTCCACCCACCCCAGCACTGCTGGTGTTTTTTAAGGCCGGATCTCACGTTTTTGGCTTGCAGAGCCTCGTGCTTGTTTGCTCCGGGCACCGGCCAACCCCCCCTGGTTATCTCCTGGGGTTTCCCATCCGCTGGAGCCTGCGCGGGGGTGATAACATTGCACCTCCCTCTGCAAGGGAGCTGGGGGGGGGCAAACGGTGCCCTGCACGGGGTAGCGAGATGGGCTGGGAGGTGGGGTTCACCCCCCCAAACTATAAATCTCCCCCTTATCGAGCTCACTTGAGGCTGCATGTTTTGGTTTTGCTCCCGGGCTAAGCCTCCCGTAGCTCCCTGCTACTCAGTCCCCAGAAAGCTGTTAAATTCACCCATTTTTGGCTCGATATCACTGAGGATGCGATACCCTGAGCCCAACTTGGTGGTCTTGAAGCATCCGTCTGTTTTTTCCAGGCGTGTGGTGGGATTTTTCTGCAGCCGTCCCCCTCCCGATTATCTCCTGCCCGTCTTCCAGAGCTTCACGTGGGGTGATGCCGATTCCACCTGCAAAGGTTGGGGGGGCGAGGGGGTGGCAGCCCCACAGACAGGGTCAGCCTCAAGGAATTCCCACTGAGAGAAACGGGAATGATGTGAAAATAATCCCATGGGGGCTGAGGGGGAAGATTTTGACGGTGTTTAGGGTGCTGGAGTCATAGAGAGGGATGCAATATGCCTTCTGCTGTGCTGAGGGGGGTCTCCTGCCCTCTCCCCCCTTCATCCCCTTTGCCCTCGTCTCTAATCCTGGCAGGAAAAAACCAAAAACGAAGGGAAGAGGATAGTGTGTGAATTTGAGCAATTGCACCAATTTTTGAAGGACCAAGAGCGCCTCCTCCTGACCCAACTGGCAGACCTGGACAGGGCCATCGCCAAGGTCCAGGAGGAAGCGGTGGCGAAGGTCTGGGAGGAGATGTCCCACCTCGACAGCCTGATCTGGGAGATGGAAGGGAAATTCCAGCAGCCAAACCGCCGAGCCAATTCCTGCAGGTGGGAGCCCAGAGCATCACAGCAGGTGGGGAAAGGGGGGGGTAGAGCAAAACCTGAGACCTGGGAGCCCAAATTCAGCCCCGTGGGAGCTCCCTGGTGTCCTCTAGCATCGCCGCAGGTGGGATCACCGCATCCGGAGGGTCCTTCTTTGCCGCTGCTTTGCCATAAAAAACATAATTTCTGCCGGAAGACAAACCACTTGTCCTCCTTCCCCAAATCTCTCTCTCTCTTCCCTCTTTTAGGACATCAGAAGGCTCCTGGACAGGTAAGGTGGCTCCTTCTCCCTTTCCCCACGCCGCAATGCTTGGAGAGGTCTGGATGTCACCCCGGGTAAATCCTGAGGTTGGGATTTTGGGCCGGATGGATGCAGACGATAGCGCAGCGGTGTTTTCTGTAAAGAAATGGCTGTCCGGGGGGGGGAAAACTGCAAGGAAACAGGGCAGGGGATTATATTTGTCCCTGGATAAGCCCCCTCGGCCCACCCCAGAGCTTTTTGCCCCTGGATAAGTCCCCTCGGCCCACCTTGTAGCCCTTTGCCCCTGGATAAGCTCCCTCAGCCCACCCCGTAACCCTTTGCCCCTGGATAAGCCCCCGAAGC